CTAGGTTTGGGATGAATCTTCCATAATAGTTTATCAAACCCAAAAAGGATCGGAGTTCCTTCAAGTCCGTGATATAATTTCAATTAAAGCAGATGCACTGCATTTAGCTAACTCAGAGAATGACTCAACAGAACCAAGAGTTAAGAAGCGAAAGGAAGACTCAGCTATGTCATTTTTACTAGGAACAGAATGTGACAATAATAGTAATCAGGCTTGGAGAGATGAGTTGAAACTGTTCCAGATAGAACCTCAAATTCACCATGACTCTGATCCTCTGGAATGGTGGAAAGCTAATGAGTCACGTTTCCCTACAATTGCTAGAATTGCCAGACGTTACCTTTGTGTACCAGCCACATCAGTACCATCCGAGAGAGTTTTTTCAGCAGCTGGACTTGTAATCAACAATAAACGAAGCAGTCTAACACCCGAAAATGCAGACATGCTTATATTCTTGAGTAAAAATATGTGATCACTCTATAATTTTGTTGTTGATAAAAGTTATTGGTTAATTAAAAATCATCAATTAATATTAATATATGACAATTAACTATTCATTAATTAACTATGAATAATTAACTATCCGCCAGATATCCGTATCAATTTTTAAAAGGATATCCGGATAATAAAAAGTACTATCTGTTTCAGCTCTAATAATAATAATATTAATAAAACTTGAATTCTTTTGATTGTAATATCTTGTATTACTATTATACCTGAGGGTTAGTTTGTAAGTACATTTCTTGTAAGTACTAGCTCAAGTACCTTTTATCATAATCACCAAGAGAGTACCAACTACCAATTATTATTAATTGGACTCACCACTAACTCACTAAGAAGAATATATTCCAATGCATTCAATAGCAGGACCATCACCTCATCAGCAAGCAAAGAAGACATGTTTTAACCTGATGTATTCCTTGACATACCACCAACTAATAATTACTGTACTTATTGTTATAATGTTGGCAGTGATTGGATTTAATTTACAAGGTGATACCCGGTATGGGTGTGGGTGATTATGAGTAAATTAATGAAATTGTTATGGGTGTGGCTGGTTAATTAGCATTCTTGACAAACAATGTCTCAAGGTCAGTTTCTGTTTTCTTTCTCATCATGACCATGTTTGTATTTTACAGGAATCTATCAACTGGGAGGGATAGCAGGACACTCAGCTCCTGTAGTAGGAGAATCAGTGTTCCTGTGGGGAGGGGATAGGCCTAACTTACCTCTTGTTCATGATTCCCCACAAAAGAGGAAATTGTTGTCCACCATTGATAGACTGGAGTTTAGGACTGGTCGTTGGTCCTCTCACGTGACCAGAGGAACGTCACCTCCTCTAGGAGCTATAGGATACTTCTGTACTACCAGAAACAATGACATCTTCTTTTTTGGTGGTCAGTGTGGAGGTGGTCTTTGCTTTCACAATGACGTCAACTCATTTAACAGTCTAACATATGAATGGAGTAATATAATACCAACCAGTGATGCTGTAATGAAGAGATCGGATGGTGGTATGGTGTGTATGGAGTCTATGGGTA